AAAAGAACATTCACTACAACCAAAACGGAAAAAACTAATCATAAGAACAAAATTTTTTGTTTTTCAAAAGAAAAATATCTACAAATCTTTTATTTCAATTCAATTACACACACACACACACACAAAAACATTGTTAGTTTAACTTTCACCAAATACAAGCAAACATTCACGAATTGTTTACTATTTTATTATACTATCTTCAATAAAAAAAATCATAGATAATATCAATGGAATTCTGATTAATTATTATTATGTTTTTAAATTGGCTTTATAAGGATATTTCCAGTTAGAATTTGTCAAAGTGCCAACTTTAGAAAGAACTTCGTGACTCAATTAATCTTCAGCGAATTGTACAAACTTTTAAAAAGTTAGACGGTGAAATGCCAAACAGTGTGAAAAAAAAGGAACACTAATGGTTCAGATACCTATGACGTAGCATACTTTAAAGCATTTTTAAAGTCAGATTTGACAGTCGTTAAGAGCTTACGACCTACTTCATAGTATAATGGTGCTCTCTTTTCATTTTTACGTATCTTTTGTACTTTAAATGATATACATTCATTAATATAATTAATGCAAATATCCAAGTTACATTTAATGTTAAAATTAATAAAAATAATAAATAAGGTTAGTTATAATAATAATAATAATAATAAGTGAATTGGTGTAATGAGGCAAAGACGGTTTTACAGGAGTTAGTGTTTATGTTAATGCTTTAAAACGTATAAATATTAGAAATTAAAAAGCATTGATTCGATCATATCTTATAATTTTTACGTTAAAAATATTAATTCAGTGAATTTTAATACATTTAAGAATAGTATAAACGACATTACTTTTGACGAGAAATTTTAGCTATTTAAGTAATAAAATTAAGTCTTGTCCTGTGAAAATCTTAGAAGTTAAGCATATGTTTCTTTAACGAGATGTATTTAACACGGAAATGCTAAATTACTATCAGCTAAATGGAATGTTCCGAGTAGCGTGGACATGTGAACCGTCAACCCAGCCCTCTAGAGATAAAAAGAGGGTGATTGACCCAAAGTTGAAAGGTCGAGTAGATCGGGGAGCGGCAATGAGGAGAAGTTAGCCTGGGGCAAACTAACACATTCAACAACGCCTGCTGAGAATCACGTTGTATCTCCTCCCTCTCTATAAACTAAAGCAGAAGAGAAACCGCTAAAATTTCATTCTTTCTTTAAAAAATATTTGAAGTTTTCCGGTTAATTTTGTCAATATTATATTAAGAGACGATGATACAAATATTTAAGACATCAATAATGGCCTGCGGGTATTGATAATCCAGTAATAATAACACACGTCAGCATCTCACACTTCGTGTAGAAAAAAAGGAAGACAAGTTTAACGTGTTTAGAATTTTAATATGTCCACATACTAGTTTTTTTTTTATTTTTTTATTTTTAACTAGAGTGATCTTAATCTGAAAACCAATTGATCTTTTTTTGTTTTGCATTCATATTCATTAGCAAATACGATGCTTGAGAATACAGAAAATTTCTCAGCTTATTACCAGAGATGTAGATAAAGTAACCAATTTGTCCTCTTGTTTAAACTTATTGAAAAATATCTAAAAACATGTTGTATCAATAACTAATACACATTGTTTTTTTTTGTTCTAACAATTTAGCATTAGTATTTATAACTTAAGACAAAACCAGAAGCTTCTGTGAGTCTAGTTATCTTTATTGCTTGTAGCTTTTAGTATTTCCTCCCCTCTAAAATATTGCAAAAATGTTCACTGATTAGAATCTTTCTCATAATAAATTTGGCAAGAACTTCTTGTATGTTTTTTACTCAAATTCTTATACCTTTTAAAATGTAAAGCAGTTCAGTGATCCACTATTCTCAAGCATATCAAAACATTTAAATAAATAAGGTTAGTACAAGATGTTATACCTTAATACAAGATAGGATAACATCTATATTGTAAACTTACTGTAGTTATCTTCTTTAAAATGATCTTTTTCATTGCCATAATAACTAATTTCCCACGAGTAGAATGTAGGATAGTTTTAACAAGATAACTTAAGGCTATTTGTACTCATATTAAGCAGTCTAGCTAGTTTTATATAATGATAATGATGTAAATAATCCAGTTTGCAACATAATTCTCTAGCTTTTTTTCATAATTTCTACAAACAATGATGTTTTTTCATTAACTTAATTAATTTTTAATCAATTAATTTGTATTGGTGTTTAAGAAAACTTCTTGAAATCCAGCAAAAATTTCTCATTTATCATAATTATTTTTCTTAAAAGTCAAAAATAGAAATTAAGAAGACAACATTTATTTTTGGAATGTTTATTTAAAGCATCATAGCTGCTTTCTAACCAATATTTTTTTTTCCAATGAATTCTAGAAATTCAGGAAGGAATTTCAGTGAAGTTTTTCCTATAAAATTTATATAAATTTCTAGAATATTGTATATAATTATTATTTCTTTAAATTTAAGTATAATAAAAGTTTTAAGTTTAAAATTATATATTTAACGGAGCTTACTGATGTTAAAAGCATTAAATTTAACACTAAAATCTGAATAATTTTAATGAAATAATTCTTTTAATTTAATGTTATGTTTATTTTCTATTTAGATTTTGTCAGTTTTTGGAAAATAGAAAATAAAATTTATAAGAAAACAGCATAAACAGTCCTTCCTATTATTATATTATTGTACTGCACTATTATTATCCTGTAAAGTTGACAAGAACTTGATTCACTACATCAATGAAGGTGTAGCAAGCATATAATAGCAAAGAACAACCCACTTTACAAACCATCAATTTGTTGTGCAGTGTTTGCCCTACATCATGTTGACTTCAGATGGCCTTTAGATATTCTAGACCAACTTTCAAAAATTGAGTTGATTCATCTTTGGAACAACCACCATTCATCTATTTTAGATCACATCATTAAACCAATACAATAATTAATAATCTAATTTAAAATATATAGGACTATATAAAAACGTTAAATATCCTAAACTTGATCTTTGACCTTCAACTCTACAAGGTCAGTCAGGTGAATTGATTGCCCATGCTGTAATAAATGGCTTAGGTTGATTTATAATAAATTGGATAGGTTCACAACTAGGAAAGTTAGTACTTAACTTTAAAAAAGAAATTATTATTAATGGATAAGGCAGGAAAATTGGATAGATCTGTCACTCCTTACAAAGTTTTCAAACAACTTTGTAAAATACAGGCTTTTTCAGGGAAAAAATTTCAGAAAATTGAAAATAAATAATATATTTCTTAAATTATAACTATAAAAATATAGTTTTAATGATTTATCAACTTAGTTTTTCTAACATATCTTTATTATTATTATTTTTTTTTATAATAAAAATTCCTTTAAAAATTAAGAAAAAAAATGGATTTATTTACATATTAAAATTTAATCTCAGGATATCTTTAAGTTGGTCTGGCTGAATGAAAGATCGAATTAAAAATAATTTAATGCTTTGGAGTATTTTATTTATAAAAAAGAAATCTTTTATATTTATATACTTCTTGATATATAATAAATTGTTATTTCCTTTTGGTTTATATCCTAACAAGTATCTAAAGTAAATTTTTTCTCTGGAATTAAAAGGATACTTAGTTCAATGGACCAATTTTCAAGCAAAATTAATATATTTTGCTCAAGAAACTTTTCAGTTTAAGAATTTATTTTTCTTAAAAGATGAATATTTTAAACATTTTTATGACATAAAAGATAATTCTCCTACCTGATTATTATTAAATTTCCAAAACTTTTTTAATATTAAAGCAAAAATGAACCATGCCATATTGATTGTTAGCAAATTTCTTGTGAATAATTCTGTCTTGAATCACATGTTTAATCACTGGTTTTCAAGAAAAATACAATGTGCTATCTTTAGAACCTCTTAAAGGAGCATGCGCTACAGTTCTTAAATATGTAGAAGATAAACTTAAAGAAAATAAAATTGCTTCCCTTTTCATTTTTTATTTTATTTTTTTATCATTGTTAAACAGCAAAGAATAAGCCATAATATTCTATATTCTATTCATACCTTATAATGAATAGACTAAATTGAAAATTATAATGTACTTTAAAACTCATTGTTCTAAATATTAAGATTTTTTTAATATAAATTTTTTAGTATGCAACATTTCAATTTATAAATATTCAGGTGTAGTTTCTACTTAAGAACAAAACTGATGTTATTTTATATTAAAAAAAAAAAAACTAATAAACCTGCTTATTTTAATTTTTCTCTTTTTCTAATGGTGTTCCCACACCACATAATTGTGTTGACATGAATGAAAAATTATCAGATCTTATCTACATCCATCAGAATACTAATTAATGTCTTTTCTCTTCATAATGGAATAACTACCTTTTCATCTTATATAATAGCAAAATGATAATTTTATGTTTATTAATGATAACACCTGGCTAAAATAGAGGGAATTAAGTATGTGAATATTTATCCTGAATTTTTTCTTTATTTTCCAAGTTGTGTCAGTTGTCCTGCCCAAGGCATGAATAATGTAAACAGGAATGTTATGTCTGGCATTAAACATATGTACAATTTCCCTATTATAAATTGATAGATTAATTGGTATGTAAGAAAGAAAAGTCATGTTTATTCTATACATTGAAAAATATGGTGAAGTTAGTAAGTTTGTTTAACAATCTTCATGTGTTTATATTTAGTAAAAAGTTTTATAATCCTTTACATCTTATAAAAATACAAAGCATATAAAGTTCAACAATTTATAAATAAAACATATTTCTTTTTAAAAAGAAAACTAATAAAATATTACTTTTTTTTATACTATAAAATAAACAAAACTAAACCTACTTTCCAGAATACAAACAGGAAGATACAATGATAAGAAGGATATTCTTACAAAACAAACTTATATCTAGGATATTTAATGAATGAAGAAAGGCTATAATTGTATATAAAGATAAGAAAACTAGTGTCATTCATTTGCAGACAGCAACCCACCTTTATTTCTAGAAATGGCACTCCTCTGGACACAATGTCTATACTAGACATTCAGGTTGGATCTGAGCCAATAGGCCAAACTTTCTACAGTTTATGAATATCATGACTCATCTGTTTATAAGTTAATTATTGTGATGATGTAATTGAAATACTTAGGTGTACTAGGTAAGCTAAGATTGTATACATTTTAAAGGTGTGATGTATCCTATTATACATATATATACATTAAAAAAATCTTTAATTTACAGTGTAATTTGCTGATTCATATTTAACCTTGAACAGATTTAATTAAGTTTTTTTTTATGTCCATAAAAGTCAAAAACCATGTAACTGTAGTAATATTTTCTTGTTTTTCACCTCTTCAATATCAACAGCTGATGTTTCTCCACCCAGGGGAACAAACTCCCTTTTATTCTTAGTTTAAAGGAGAAAAAAAATGTAGCGGAAAAAAAAATTCAATCCATCACAATCACGTGGTAGACCCTCAACTTATGAGTCCTTAACCTCTTCTGTGAGCCAAATATAGTAAAGCAGGTTCTTGGAAGTGGTCTCTTTCGATTTACTATCCGAAAAAAGATACAGTAAAGCTTGTAATTAGTTTAAATTTTTACTCTACTACAAAAATAACAATAAATATTTTTGCTTTATTTATATTTCGCACGTGGTCAGCTATCAAGATTCAAAATTATTATATCGATAATGCTTAACTGTGATTAGTTCATTCAAATTCAAATTGACCAATTAATAAAATATACGTTATTATTATTATTTAACAACCGATAGGTGGCGAAAAATTTAATTATTAATTTTAAATATATAATTATTTTATTTATAAAATTAATTTAAATCTTCAAAAATTACAAAAATAACACATAATTTAATAATAATAAACTTATTGTTACTATAAATACTAATTTCAATAACGAACGCGACTTGAGTCATATATCTTGCATCGAACAAGCGGCACGAATTTAAAAATAATTTTCCGTTGTATTAAACCAAACCGCATCTTTTTTGAATGCATTTCAATTAAGCATAACGTCTCTTATTTAAAATTTTAATTAATTTTCTCGAGCGCGATCATTTTAAATACAAGATATAATATCTAATTACAATAACAAGTCGAAAAATATTTCATAAAATTTAAACGAAAAAAAAAAAACAAGAATACAAATCACGAGAAGCGAATTTACTTTTAATTTTCTCTTATATCCTTCCATCAAATAACTCATTAAAGCGTTATCTAGGAAGATCAGATTTCTGGTTTTAAGGAAGATAATGTTATTGCTAAGGTTGTTTTCTCCACGCAGCAACCAGGTAGCTATAGGTAGTCTTCATTACAGGCACTCTGATTAAAAATTCCATTTAAAATCCCTAATTAAATTATATATAATTTTCATACCAAATAAACAATTTATGCACCACTCTCTTTTTAAAAAAAAAATATATATATAGAATAAATTTGGACCGATAGTTTATTTATTCAACAAATTTTAATAAAATTAAATGCCCGCTTATTATCTTCTACATAATAATAAGAAATTTAATTGGTTATTTTCTAAGTTAAAATGTTATTTTATTTAATATCTATTTTAATGCTGTATTAAAGTTTAAATATAGTTCCAAAAAAATTTTTTTCCTCTTTAAATATAATATTTAAAGTTGATTATAATTATTAAATTCTTCATTAAAATATACACTTAATGTAATTTTATTAAATTTTTATTACAAATAGAATTTATATTTTGTCTTTATTTTTAGTTTATTTAAATTAATTTTGCATTATATATAAATAAAAATAAATTTATGCACAATTTTTTTTTAATTTATTAAATACTGCTCTAATTTTATACAAAAGTGTACTTTAAAGTTAAATAAAAACAATTAAATCTTTTATGTTTATTTGTTTGAATTTTTATTTATGCATTAAATAAATATAAAATGGGATTTTATTTATAAAATAAATTCGAAAATTATTTAAGAATCTAAATTTTCATTTACTTATATTATTTTTTCTTTTAATAATTTTTATATTTATAAAATTTTACAGGGGGGGGGATTCTTATGTACAAGTTAAATTTGGCCGAGTTTTGATGTAGAAAAAGACTTTTTTTGGGCATTAAATATAGCTTAAGTTATGATTCAACTGGAAAATATAGCTATATAAAAACAAATGATCGATATATTTGTGAAAATGCTTTTGTTCTTTCCTTTTTTTTTTACTCTATTTTGCTAAATGGGTTTATCGATCATGTCTGTCAAAGCTACAGAATTGTATCTTTGACAAATGGATGCTGAAGATAAACGATGTCAATACAAGAAAATAAAAACATTTTCTTACAGAAATATCTTCTAAAGATAAAATTTAATATTAATTTATTATCGAAGAATAAGTTATTTTTTTTTTATCTTATTTTATTTATTTATTATACTTATTTATTTATATTTAAAATTTTTAAACTAGCTTCAACTTACTTACCTTTCGTTCCAACCGTTATCCGACTGTAGTAGTATTTGTAACAGATGAACTGAATCCAGCTGTCAAATTTCACTTTGGGAAACGGTCCTGCGATAAATTAAAGATGTTCGAAGCTTTGTATTAAGCTCGTTTTACTTCATTAAATTCTCATTGGAGAAAATTGTAGAAGAGTGGTGCTCCTTCCTGCTTATGTCCTCGCTCGCCACGAGTGGTACTGCAGTAATCATTGGTTCATTCTTGGCATTTCAACGACCACTTCCTTATTTACAACCAATTACTAACCGAAACAAATGAAAAATTAAAGGTTTTTAATGTCTTATATGTGAGAATCTCGCCCAGTTGTGCTGATTTTTCAACAGTGACGTGGCATTCCGACAAACATGTAATTTATTCTACAGATGCTGTTTACT